GGGCGCGCTCGCTGCCAGGGTGACCCCGGCCCCGGGGGCCCAGCCCCAGCGACCCTGGCTTCATTCCAGAGGCTGCCCTGGGAGCCAGGCCGCCGGTCTCTGGGGCTCAGCCTGGGCTGGGACTGCTGCTGGGGCGCAGGTGAGGCGCTGGCTGGGCTGTCGGGGCCCAGGGCAGGCAGGCTGGGGGGAGCCAAGTCCCGCATGGCGGCCCCCGCCAGGAAGGCGAGCGGGACTGGGGCTCTGCAGCCCAGGGTCCAGAAAGGCCGGGTAAGGCGGGCCGTGCGCATCTCCAGCTTGGTGGCCCAGGAGGTAGGTGACCCCCAGCCCCTCCCTCTCCCCTCCAGGGCTGGGACAGGGACTCAGGATGCGGCCCAGAGGATTCTGGCTCCAGGCGGGGAGAGGGCTGCCTGGAAGCAGGACAGTTTGGGGAGCCGGAGGGTCCGAAGCCCTGCTCACCCCACTCCTGGCCCTAGCTCTCAATTCCCCAGGCCTGCTGGGCCTGGGCGGACAGTGTTTTTCTTGCCAGGACTTCCCTCTCCAAGGGCTCCCGTGGCCCAGTCTTCTAGCTCGAAATGCTGAGGGAGGAGAGGAAGGGTAGGAATGAAATGGGTGCCCAGAGAGGATGGTGGGAGGTGGGGAGGAGAGGAGGTCGCCCCCCTCCCCCTCCCCGCCAGTGGGCAGCGGCCCTGTGCTGGGGGTGAACCAGGGGTGGCAGAGGGACGGGTGGGCTGCTTCAGGGGTCCAGGCTTGCAGGCTGGAGTCTGAGGAGGGTGGGGTCGGAGGCCCCTGGATGGCGGTGAGGGTAGCTGAGCGGGGGCAGCTGGCTCACTCTTCCTGGACAGCCTGAGGTGCTGGTAGCTGCCCCGTGGTCCTGGGAGCACCTCTTCCCCCCCATGTCAGAGAGCCTGGAGCAGGCTGGGGGAGGGTGGCAGAGGGGGTGTTGGAGGTGGCTCAAGGGTGAGTCCGAGAATCCCACCGCTGCCACCACCGCCTGGCACCTGAGCGCTCTGCCGTGGCTCATGCCCCTCCCAGCGGGGGACAGGTATGGGGCAGATCCTTCCCACACACAGGTGAGGACTCAGGATTTGGTTTAAAGGAGCTTCTGTATTCTGTGGGACCACAGGTCAAAGGAGGTTACACAGCTGGCCCAAGGCCGTCTAGTAAGCTGGTGGCTGCAGGGCTGGGCCTGGCGCCAGTGAGATGAGGTCTGCAGGTCCAGGTGTTGCGTCCCAGGCTTGCCCCGGGGGTGTGTGTGTGTGTGTGTGTTGCAGCGGTGCCAGTCCTGCTATGGGCAGACTCGGGCTGGGTCATTGTTACCAGGTGTGGTTTAGCCTCTTGGGTACCTGGAGGAGATCCGTGGTGGGGTCTGCAGGGGCCCTGGTCCCACTGGACCCCGAGAGGCCACTGTCCCATGCTCTCTGCCTAAGGAGCAGGCAACATGGGCTGAAGACCAGCACAGTGGGGACCTGGAAGTCACACCCTCCATCCCCTGCCTCAGTCCCCAGCAGCTCCCTCCACCCATCCTGTGCCTTCAGAGCTTCCGGGGCCAGCCCAGGGTGGACAGACCCCTACCTATGGCCCATCTGAACTCCCAGTTACTTCTTCAAAGACGATGTCCTCCAAACAGTCCCTCTGGTCCAGAGGGTCCCCAGCATGAGTGCAGAGTCCTGAGGACAGAGCCCTGGCAGTCAGTGCTGCTGGGAGCAAGGGGCAATTTTGGCTCCCAGGGTGGGCCAGGCTGAGAGAGCTCATGAGGGGCTCCTGGGTTGTCAGATGTCTGTGAGAGGATTCTCAAGGGTGGGAGAGGCCATACGGGGACAGACAGAGGCTCCTGGGACAGTGCGAAGCTGGCCTCAGCTGTTCCTAGTTTGGCTTCTGCCTGACTGTCGAGAGGCAGGATGTGCAGGTGAGCCTGTGCTGGGTGTGTCACTCCTGGACATCTGCCTGTGTGCATGTCCCTCTGTGTACCTGTAGATGCGTCTATGGCTGCGTTAGGTCTTCTGTGTCTATTCGCAGGCATGTGGGAGGGCTGCTCTGGGCCAGGAGAGGGGGCTGCAGGAGCAGGGGTGGGAGTGTTTAAGTCTCTCCCTCTCTCGGGGGCCAAGGGGCCTGAATCTGGATGGCTGGTGTCCTTGGCCAGTGGCATGGACAGAGGCCATGGTGTGTGTGTGTTCATGGGGATATTGGGTGTGGGCAAGATTGAACGGTGGGAGTCACGCCCCAAAGTAGGGGACTGCGTTGCTGGTGGAGAAGAGTACTTCTGGGCGTTACTGCATGGTGCCCTGGACTGGGAGCCAGCTGGGAGGTCCCTGTGCTCCATGGGGAACTATAGTGCCCAGATCGAGGGGTGGGCAGTGGCTGTGGCCATGTGGCCAAGGGGTGGACATTATGATCAGAACATTTTGGCCTCCCCCTTACTCTGCTTGGCCTCTTCTCTGGAGGCCCCAACAGAGACGTCACCTGCTCCCACCCCGGAGGTCCCATGGCCTGTCCTCCCCCCGCTCCCGACTCCAGTGGGACATCACTCCCTCCCCGCTGCCTTCCCTCCTGGTGCAGGTCCTGTCCCTGGGGGCGGACGTGCTGCCGGAGTACAAGCTGCAGGCGCCTCGCATCCACCGCTGGACCATCCTGCACTACAGCCCCTTCAAGGCCGTGTGGGACTGGCTCATCCTGCTGCTGGTCATCTACACGGCCGTCTTCACGCCCTACTCGGCCGCCTTCCTGCTGAAGGAGACAGAGGAGGGCCCCGTGGCGCCCGACTGCGGCTATGCCTGCCAGCCGCTGGCCGTGGTGGACCTCATCGTGGACATCATGTTCATCGTGGACATTCTCATCAACTTCCGCACCACCTACGTCAACGCCAACGAGGAGGTGGTCAGCCACCCTGGCCGCATCGCCGTCCACTACTTCAAGGGCTGGTTCCTCATTGACATGGTGGCCGCCATCCCTTTCGACCTGCTCATCTTTGGCTCTGGCTCGGAGGAGGTGGGTTGGGAGGGAGGCCGAGGGAGGGGAGGGCAGGAGAGGCCTGGAGGGTGCGGGGGAAGGGTGAGGAGGGGGTGGGCGAGGCAGTGGCTAGAGAAACAGGGCTGGAGGGGCCCGGAGGCTGCCCCAGCTGCCCCATGCCAGCCCCCTGCCTACCCCAGCCACTCACTGGGTGCAGAGGAAGTGAGTTTTTCTCATTTGTGTATCCAAAGAGACCACTGTCTTCTAATTCACACAAAAGTGCCCCGGAAGCTATTGGGACCCCTGGCCAGGCACCTTAGGGTGGGTGTTGCACCTTTCCAAGTCTCAGTTTCCTCACTCTCATGACCGGGGGTGGGGGGCCACGTACTCTTTGTCACCAAGCTGGCGCAAAGATGATTGGGACTGGGCCGGGCGCGTGGGAGGCGCTTAGATGATCAGGAGGAGGTTCTGGGAGGAAGACCGCAGCGCCCCCCCGCTTCTCACGTGCCCCGCGTGGAACGTCTCCCCCACCCCAGCTCATCGGGCTGCTGAAGACGGCCCGGCTGCTGCGGCTGGTGCGCGTGGCCCGGAAGCTGGACCGCTACTCGGAGTACGGGGCGGCCGTGCTGTTCCTGCTCATGTGCACCTTCGCGCTGATCGCGCACTGGCTGGCCTGCATCTGGTACGCCATCGGCAACATGGAGCAGCCTCACATGGACTCCCGCATCGGCTGGCTGCACAACCTGGGCGACCAGATCGGCAAGCCCTACAACAGCAGCGGCCTGGGCGGCCCCTCCATCAAGGACAAGTATGTCACAGCCCTCTACTTCACCTTCAGCAGCCTCACCAGCGTGGGCTTTGGCAACGTGTCCCCCAACACCAACTCCGAGAAGATCTTCTCCATCTGCGTCATGCTCATTGGCTGTGAGTGTGTGCCGGGCGGGGGGCAGGGTCAGCGGGAAGAGCCCTGGGTGGAGGAGAGGGTGGATGCTAGAGGGGCCCGCTGGGACCCTGGGGACTTGGAGACTCCAGGGCCACCATCGTGGTGTGTTTGGGGGCTGGGATGCCAAAGTAGGGGCACAGGCTGAGCCCACGGGCGTGCATGCCTGGGCTTCTGTGTTCGTGACTCTTGCGTGTGTGTTCACATGGCGACGTGACTGCATGTGTCCTTGACTGGTGCAGGGGCCGGCGGGCCCCTTGGATGCTGACGGCCCCGCTCACCCCCGCCCCCAGCCCTCATGTACGCCAGCATCTTTGGCAACGTGTCGGCCATCATCCAGCGGCTGTACTCGGGCACAGCCCGCTACCACACGCAGATGCTCCGGGTGCGTGAGTTCATCCGCTTCCACCAGATCCCCAACCCGCTGCGCCAGCGCCTCGAGGAGTACTTCCAGCATGCCTGGTCCTACACCAATGGCATCGACATGAACGCGGTGAGGCCCCTGGGCTGCCCGGAGGCTGGTGGCAGTGGGCTGGAGGGAGCTGAGTGGCAGTGGGGACGCCGCTAGGTGCAGTGAGCACGTCTCTCGCTCTCTGCTTCAGGTGATCACAGTTAGCACTTAGAAAGACCCCGAGAGGCATGTTGCCCTCCTTTTGCCCTTGGAGCGGGGGCAGGCTGTGACCGAGCTCTTGCAAGTAGGGTCCTTATGGTTAATCCTTACAACAGCCCCACCGGGAACTGGTCTCCACCCCATATGCATCAGCAAATAGGGGCCTAGGGCAATGAGGCTGCGTCCCCAAGGGTGCCCAGCTAGAAGGGGTGGAGCCAGAATGGGCACCCGGGTCCTTGCCCAGAACTGGACCCTGATGCTCCTCCCTGGGTCTCTGGGCGGGGTGGAGTGGGGTCCCAGAGAGGCACTGAGCCAGCCCCACCTGCCCCCAGGTGCTGAAGGGCTTCCCCGAGTGCCTGCAGGCTGACATCTGCCTGCACCTGAACCGCTCGCTGCTGCAGCACTGCAAGCCCTTCCGTGGGGCCACCAAGGGCTGCCTGCGGGCCCTGGCCATGAAGTTCAAGACCACACATGCGCCACCAGGGGACACGCTGGTGCACGCAGGGGACCTGCTTACCGCCCTTTATTTCATCTCCCGGGGCTCCATCGAGATCCTGCGGGGTGACATCGTTGTGGCCATCCTGGGTACGGTGGGGACTGGGCACCGGGCTGGAATGCTGCCCACCAAGGCCTGGAGAGGTCTGAGCCCTTTGAGGACACAGATGTGGGATCTCTGGACTGGGGACCTTGGGCTCCTTTAATTCACCCAAGCTCAGGCCCAAGGGGGCAGTGGAGAGGAGCCCCATGGGGGGCAGGATTGCTGAACTCTGGGAGTTCCCAGACGGTTTCCCTTCAGGATCTCCCCACAGGCAGCAACACCTGGCTTCCCTAGAGCAGCACCAGGTCCTGCTCCAAGGCGGGCAGTGGAGAGAGGTTATGCATCTGATTTTACTAAGGAAACTTAGCTCCCTGCATCCTCCTGTGGTACAGCCAAGCCTGGCCCACACCGGCTGCCAAGCAGAGGGAGTTCTGCCCCTCTGCCCCTCTCGCCCCTCCTCTCCACCCTATCTGTACACCTGGACAGGTGTGCCTGGGCAGGGGACCACCTGCCCTCTGCCTGTCCTTCCTTTGTCACAGCTGGCCATTTTTTATTTTCATTTCTCAGTTCACAGACGCCCCCAGACACAAGTGAAAGTAGTTTCTGTACACGACTCTCAGCCTCACTAGGCTTTTTCTGGGCTGTGGGAGCTATTCGAGCCTAATTCTTTCAGTAAATGAAATGTGGGGTTCAAGTCCCTACTGCTTTCTGACCTGTAGTCTGAAAAACAATTATGAGGGTGCAGTAATCGGCCAGGGGGTACTTGGGACTTGGGTTTTGGGGGCAGAAGTGGAGTTAGAACCTAAGGAAGCCTGGGCCATGGGCAGGTGGGGCATCGGCTGGTCCTGCTGGCTGATTCCAGTTGCTGGGAGGCAAGAAAAGCCGATATTCCTGCCCTGCACCCCTCGGGCACTGCTGGCCAGTCCTGCTTTCCGGAGCTGAGGGAGCAGGGGCTGTGGCTGGGGATCGAAGGTGGAGGGTGGGTGAGGATTCTGGAAGACAGTTGCCTGCTGTCTCTGCTGCTGCCCCAGGGACTGAACCCCCCCTTTTGGTGGCCTTCAGGGAAGAATGACATTTTTGGAGAGCCTCTGAACCTGTACGCGAGGCCTGGCAAGTCCAACGGGGATGTGCGGGCCCTCACCTACTGCGACCTGCACAAGATCCATCGGGACGACCTGCTGGAGGTGCTGGACATGTACCCCGAGTTCTCCGACCACTTCTGGTCCAGCCTGGAGATCACCTTCAACCTGCGAGACGTGAGTGGGCTGCCTCTGCCGGCTTCACCCTGGGTGGCTGCCCTGAAGCTGCTGGATCCTCTCCTGGGCCTGTTTCCCTGCCTGTCCAATGGTGTGGCGTCCGACCAGGATGTGCAAGTCCCAGCCTCGGCCCTTGTCCTGAGGCCGAGGTCCCCAGGGTGGCGCTCTCCGCCCCACGGTCTCTGTTAATGAGGGGGTTTGAGCCTCGCCCGGCAGAGTGGGTGGCGCGGAAGGGCCCTGACGCCTCCCTTGGTTCCAGACCAACATGATCCCCGGCTCTCCCGGCAGCACGGAGCTGGATGGCGGCTTCAACAGGCAACGCAAACGCAAGCTGTCCTTCCGTCGGCGCACGGACAAGGGTGAGGCGGGCGGGTCCCAGGGAGGTGGGGAGG